GAGGCCGCATGGAGAAATGAAGTCTCGAAATGCGTTGCACACGGGCACGCAAACGAGGCAATGGCATATGCAATGCCAATGGCATGGAAATGGCATATAGATGCAACATGGACTTATACTAAAGAGGAGAGCCTCAGCCGCACTCACAATAAGAGGTCCGATGGATGAAAATGAGTACGTCGAAATGCGTGCACACGGCACGCAAGACCGAGGCAATGGCATACGCAATGCAATGGCATGGAAAGGCATATAGTTCAACATGGCTTATACTGAACATGAGAGAGCCTCAGCCGCACTCACATAAGAGGCCGATGGATGAAATAAAGGCTCGAAAATGCGTGCACAGGGACAGCAAACGGCAAGCATACCAATGCATGGCATGGAATGCATAAATAGAATGCAAAGTGGACTTATACTAACATGAGAGAGCCTCAGCCGCACTCAAATAAGAGGCCGATGGATGAAAATGAAGTGGCCTCGAATGCGTACACAGGTCACGCAAACCGAGCAATGGCATACCATGCAATGGCATGGAAATGGCATATGATCAACATGGACTTATACAAATGGAGAGCCTCAGCCGCACTCACATAAGAGGTGTGGATGAAAAGGATAAGTGCCTCGAAAGTGCGGACCGAGTGGGAGAGAGTAGGCATTGCATGCAATAGCAGAAACTGTAGGGGAGGCAAAATGAAGCAGACCCGAAATGAGTGAAAACACACCCATGCATGGAATGAGTCCGAAGCATGAATTTGGACCCGAAGATGGCCATATAGCTATACCAAACATGCAAATATGGATATTGCAATGAATAGACGAAGCAAGAGCAGCCAAATTAGCATTTATCTAGAACAAAGCATGGCCAAACAGCAAGAAAGATAGGGCAACAATGGCTGCAAAAATGGCCTAAACCATGAGGTTATGAATGCAAGTGGTAATATGTAATATCCAACTGAAAATTTCCTTCACACATGAAAGAGGGACAAAAATAACATATTTTACAGAACTCTAAAAAACCCCAAAACAAACATAGACATGGCTAAGCTTTTATGCAAGAAAAAGGGCCAAAAGGTGGCAAAGAGGCAAGTGGTAATATGCACAGCCAAAACTGAAAAATTCCCTCTACAAACATTGAAGAGGGACCAAATAAGCAATATTTACAGAACTGTTAAACTCAAAACAGTATACAAAACATGCTAGAATGCCAATGCATGAGGCTCAAAAGAGGCTATAACCAAAGTATGCAAAGGCATATCACAAACCAGCCAGGACCTTAATGAAACATGTTAAGAAGTCAAAATAAGACTATTTCTAGGCTGTAAAAAGACCAAAAACAGACAGCATGATAGGCTCAAAGCATGCAAAAATGGGGCCAAAAGAGAGATATAATCATGAAGTGACATATGGAGGTCCCAAACAGTGATGACCTTCTCATGTTGAAGAGGGGGCTCAACTAAGCTATTTACGAACTTTAACTCGCAAAAGGAAGCATATGGGTTGACCCAGCATGCAAGATAAATTGACATACAAGGGGATATTGACGCAAGTGCAATACTGGGAGGTTCTCAAAGAGGGTTGAGCCCTTCAACAAACATGTAGAATAGCTCAAAATAGACCTAGTTTCAATTAAGGTCGGAGCCCAAAACAATAAGAAACTTGGCTAAGAAATTGGCACAAAAATGAGCTACAAAAGGGGGAAAGTCTACTTACCCTTGAAGACTATCACTTTTGTTGCTTCTTGGACCAGATTTGGTGACTCTAAGCTGCTGGAATCCCCTCCTTTGCTGCTGGAATGGAGTGGTGATGGTAGAGCTTGAAGATGATGAAGAAATGGAGCCCAAAACTTGAAGGAAATGGGGTGATATGTATCTATCTCCTCCAAGCAACTCTTGTAACCCTTTCTCTAGAGTTGGGAGGCTCTCTATATGGATAAGAGATGGAGAGAAGAGTCTAGCCAAAGTGGAGGGAAAATGAGGCCTTTTTCCCTCCAAAAGGGTCCCCCGGATGTAGATATTTTTAGGGGAAATCCAAGGCACAGCTGGAATGTACTCAACCTGAAGAAGCAGGCCGACCTGACATTTTGGCTGCAGGTGGCCGGCCGGCCACTTCCCCTAGTCGGCCGGCTAGGTCAAAGGAAAAAAGTGACCGGCCACCACATAGGGTGAAGCCCCAGAAGTTAGCTTTCCAATGGCGCAAACCTTGCATTGAAATTCCTCCTGTAGAAAAAGTTATGCCCTTTTCCGTGAAGCCGCGCAGATTCGGTCCAAGCGGACTTCAACCAACCACATCTCTCCCCCCCGGACTTGGACTTGGGATATTCTTGAGTGCAAAATGAAGCCCTGGAAGTAAGCTTTCCAATGGTGGTGGTCTCATATCTTAATTCCTCTTGTGCAAAGAGTTACGCCCGTTTCGGTGAAGCCACGCAGATTTTTCTCCTTCCCGGATTCATACTAAACCACTTTTGACCAAAAAGAAGTTGGCTTTTCAGCAAAATTACTGGCCTCCCACCATCCTACAAGCTTTCTAACAGTGAAAATAAGGTCTCCACCAAAAATGAGCCCAAACCGATGCAAAATGAAGGTTCGGGGGCTAAAACGCGCAGCCCGAGGCCCCGAAAACTGGCTGTTAGGCACCGGGAGTGGTGTTCGATCACAAAGTGGGTCTCTCAGACCTCAGTGTCCCTCAAAAGGGAGCAAATAAGAAGTATGCCAAAAACCAGAGCAATTGGAGATGGTTAAGCGGTCCCGAACCGAGGCACACGGCCTGACGGCTCCGAAAACCGGGAACCGGACTCCGAAATGGGCAAAATGGCCCGCGGCCACAAAATGTAGCCCACGGCCACTAAGAGATGGTCTACAGGACCTCTTCCTCCTCTCAGGAAAAGAAACAGAGAAAACTGAGTCTGGTTCGCAAACCGAGGCAAGGCACAGAAGAGGGTTCGGAAGTCCGGAGGCAGGGCTCGCAGCCAAGACTCTGCAACTTCTGAACGAGCACGATATGCAAAATCACCGAGTGCTCAACTGGTGACGTCTGAGTCTTAAGGTCGGTCAAAAATGAGGTGTCTACACAACCATATCGCCTTCCTCACCCATAGCAACAGCTGCACGTACAACTACCCATCTTATATCATGGAAGAAAAGCGTGTGCCCATTAGGAAGAGGTTGATAGCAATCATTCTCTCCATGTTTCAAAATCTTTTCATAAATTTTTTGTAGAAACAACCACAACCATATCGCCTTCCTCACCCATAGCAACAGCTGCACGTACAGCTACCCATCTTATATCATGGAAGAAAAGCTTGTGCCCATTAGGAAGAGGTTGATTGCAATCATTCTCTCCATGTTTCAAAATCTTTTCATAAATTTTTTTTAGAAACAACCCCCTTTCTAGAAAAATTTCAAAAACTGTTTTAGCACAAAACGAAAACTAGGTGTTTTGAACTTTATGGGGTGTTTTGGGAAGTTGGTAAAAAGTTGACTTTTGACTTTTTACCAAGTTTTTTGACTTTTTTGGAAGTGATTTGGGAAGTTGGTAAAAAGCTGACCTTTTTGCTTTTGATTTAATATTTTTTAAAAGTGTCACATCACTCTAAAATGACCAAAATATCCCTATTAACATTTATTTTTAACTTTTTCACTTTTTTTTTCACAGGTCCAAACTGTAATTTCAGTGTTACGTTTTGGGAAGTTGCCAAATGCATAAAGTGGCGTTTTGGGGTAGGAGCGTTTTTTGAACCTGGATGCAAAACGTGGCGTTTTGCCGTGCTTCCCAAAACGACACTATATTGTATTGGTAAAAAGCTGACCTTTTTGCTTTTGATTTAATATTTTTTAAAAGTGTCACATCACTCTAAAATGACCAAAATATCCCTATTAACATTTATTTTTAACTTTTTCACTTTTTTTTTCACAGGCCCAAACTGTAATTTCAGTGTTACGTTTTAGGAAGTTGCCAAATGCATAAAGTGGCGTTTTGGGGCAGGAGCGTTTTTTGAACCTGGATGCAAAACGTGGCGTTTTGCCGTGCTTCCCAAAACGGCACTATATTGTATTCATTTCTCAAATCACAAAGAAAAAAAAAAATGAAGGCATTTGGATCATATTTTTGGAGACCAAAACTTTCTAGTTTCCAGTAGATCAATCAATCAAGTAGCATTAATCTAAAATTGAGGAATTCATGAACCAACCTGGATGGTTTTATGATTCCATTGACATCGTGAAGTATCTTGATAACCCTTTTCTTAGATCAAGAAAGCCCAACCATTCCAATGATTCCCTACTCACATTACAATTCAACATAAAGAGAACAATCTTCAGATATCACATTATTAAATTTAAGATGATACACTACACTCACAGAAAGTTTTTTAAGAGAAAATAAGCAATTTTCTGCATAGTTTTCAATCCACACAGCAGATATTTGAATTTTACATGTGCTTTTAGTGATAATTTCTGTGAAATGGTAAACTAAGAACAAAACTCTCTGCTTTTTTTTTTTACCCAAACAACCATTTCAAAATTCACAAGACATCAAAGAGTAATTTGAATTGCATCTTGAAGTTGAACATAGTGTGAGTCTGACTGAATTCATATGGGGAAAAAAAAAAAAAACAAACAAACAAACAAACAAAAATGAGTGTGAGAAATAGAAGAGGAAAGTAGTAGTACCTCCATAGCATTCATGGTGGAATTGAGGAAAGTTGGAAGAGCTCTAGACCCAAGATCATCAAAAACAGAATGGATCCGATAAATCCATATACTAGAGTTCAAATTTTAATTGCTTGATGAGATTGAGAACTAAATACATAGAAAAAGGCCAACTATGACTAAAATGTGTATTTTTTTAGACAGATAGGGCTGTTTGGTTTAAAAGAAAGAAAACTAATGAAAAAGGAACTAGGTGGAGAAGAAATATCTGAATGCAAAACAGAGTCAGAAAAGCAAAACTTCTCTCTTTTACATTACACCCCTCCAACTTAGCAGCTAAGCACATAATAGTAGTAGTCTCACCCTGCACACATACAACACACACACACACACACACACACACACACAAAATACCAAACTGTAAACAAAAAATTTAATAAATTCTTCATAGCAAGAGGAATATTTTCATTTTGAAAATTAAAAAAACAGAGAAAAAAAGCAGAAAACAGAGCAGTAGAAGGTTGGAAACTAACCTCATCATCATCCTCCATACTTGTTTTCTCGTTTCTTAAAAGCTGATTTTAGAAACAACAAACAGGCAATTCCAAGCCCAAAACCAGCCACTCCTCCCACCACAATAGCTACTGTCCTTTGTGTATTTTGTGGGTTTTGCCCTGTCCCTACACACCCACATCAAAAACCATACAGTATTTAAAACTTGACTTACTTTTACAAATCAGAGGAGAGAGTAAGACAGAGAGGAGAGAGAAATAGATATTCCCATTAACAGTCTTTGTTTGAATTGATTGATTTGTTGAGAAATTGATAAGAAACAAACAAACAAAAACAAAAACTCTTCTGTCATGAAAAATAGAGAGAAAATGATCAATTATGGATTTCATTTTTCACCAAAAACAGCGAAATTGGGTGAAAAATAAACTGATTGATTATGTATTAATACAAAAGATTACCCACTAAAATATAAAGGAAAAAATAAATATATCACATACTCCTTTCGTATTCATCAAAACAAAAGCACCAAAGCACATAAAACAGAAAGTTCAATCATTTCTTTTATTTTCTCATTCCCCAGTCCAAACAATTCAAACAGAGAGTAATAAATGTAGCAACATATAAATGCATCTATCTATATAAATTTCATATTGAAAGTACAAGTTCATATTGAGAAATGTATCTCCACTTTACTACATAAATAGAAATTCTTTATCATATTGAAAGTCGAGCACTCAAGAAAGTACAAGTTCATAAAGTGATACAAGCATTACAGCCTGTCATACGAACTATTCAGATCAGTGTGGCAACCCTTGGAATCACATCACAAAGCCTTGAAACATAAAGCACAATCATTACATGATGCTATAAAACCATTTGGGAGCAAGAGCACCTGCCCTGTATCCACATTTACATCCTTCAATGAGATAAGGAACATATATTGGCTTCATTGCTCGTTTTGAATGCAATCAAGAACATAGCTCAAAACAAAAACAAAAACAAAAATTTGTATATAGGAACAAAAAATCTAGGATTCAGAAGCAGAAATGGATACCAATTTTACCTTTCTAGATCCCACCAGTTTTCAAAACAGGTCCATCTTGAGGAAAGAAAAGCATCGGCAGGAACTTTGCACGACTTAAAACAGTCTTCACATTGAGCCCATTGGATCTTTTCACTGACACAGTTTCAAAACAGCATTGGTATTTACTTGGCCCAAAACGATGTAGACACAATAACAAGTCCATTTAAAAGTTGTAACAAGACCTTGAGATATGGTATAGTATTAAGAAATATAAATGAAATTCAGTTTCAAGACAAAAGAATGAAAGAACTAATGTTACATTCCTAAAATGGAGACCAAATATGGATGAAAGTTGTACCAAATGCCCATTATTAGCAAATATGGTGCTATTAACTTTATTTTATTGGCTGCAAATACGGTGAAATTGTTAACAGGCATCGATCTTGTTAGATTTCCCTATTTCTAATTAGATAACCAATCATTGTTTCAAATTAGATTTCAAATATAATTCTAAAATGCTCATCTTTGAGAAAAAACTAACGTCAATCATTTTTTATTTTTTATTTTTTTAAGAAGGTAACGAAACAACTGTCATGCCATTTGAACTGCTCGTAGGTAGTAATTCAAAGCTGGGACAATGGAGTTCCTACACTAGTATGATCCCTAAGACAATGGAGAACCTACTACACTACAATGCAGTCACAAGAACTCATGACAATAACCAATTAGTGATCCCTAAGACAAAGGTAGCCTTTATATAGTCACTGTAAAGTCCCTTTCTCTAGTAATAGTATGCATTGCAGTAAACAGCTACTTGGTCATATCATGGCAAACAATATGCTGTGAAGACCAGCCATGATCTTGCTCCCATTATTTGCACAACTACCGTGCACGTAAATACAGAATCTCTAACAAGGTAGCCCACTTAAAAGAGTATTTTTCTGAACTGATTCATATTAAAACCATGTTTAAAATTCTAAACTAAATCTCCACAGATTATTGCTCCTAACAAACAAATTAATCGTTACAAACAACTCTGCACTCAGTTCTGATACAAATTAAAAAAGAAGTACATTCAACATAAAAATTTCAAGTTCTAACTTTACTTTAACAATGAGATTCTTATTTTATTTTATTTTTTATTTGTAGTCTCTGCATTCGAAGAAAAAAATAAGAATTAATTTAAAATAGATTATCACACATCGCTCGAATACATTCTCAATACAAAGTCAACCAAAACACCACAAATCCAAGGCAAGAAAAGCGTGCAATACAAAATACAACACATTTAACCGGGAAAGAAAAAAAAAAACAAAAAACAAATTGACTCCAATGACATCAAAAAAATAGTGAAAATACAAACAGATGGGAAAAAAAATTTCAAATCATAAACATATTTTTTGAATGAAAAATCTCAGATCTGAAACATATGTCTTTGAATAAGAAATTTCAAATCTCAAACATATTTTTGAATGAGAAATCTCAAATCTCAAACATATATTTTTGAATGAGAAAACTCAGATATGAAATCTTAAACATATGTAAACCCTAGGAGAAGGATCGACGGAACGAAGAGCTTGAGAGAGAGAGAGAGAGAAAATGAAATTGAGATTGTAGACGGTAGTGCTCACCTTAGTCAACGATGCAGATGGTGGTGGCGGTGGAGCTTCGAAATCGAGAGAGAGAGAGAGAGAGAGAGAGAGAGAGAGAGAAAGAACTTCGAAGTCGAAATCACTCTGAGATTGGATCTGAGATAAAACCGAACTGCAGAAGGTTGAATCGTAATCTCTGAGACTGAAGGGTTTAGAGAGAGAGCGAGCGATCGAGTAAGTGAGTGAGATTTGAGGGATTGGTTTCTCTGACTCTGAATGTTTCCCAGATTCAAAATGAGGTAGCAGAGAGAGAGAGAGAGAGAGAAAGGTTCTAATTCTCACAGAGCTACAGAGAGAAGGGGTGGAATATTAGTGTAACACACGTGAAGGCGTTTTAAAAATGACTTCTATTCCTTAAACGGCACCGTTTTAATCAAAATAAAATGCGACGTTTATAAAACATCGTTAAAGGTTAGAAACAGTGGTGTTTATAAAAACGTCACTAAATAAACGCCGTTAAATTGTATATTTCCTGCAGTGATATGTATATATTTTTAAAATCAAATCAATAGTAAAATAAATTCTCTCTTCTTTTAATGGTTGTACTGGATGGCTCAATGAATATTCATCTGTGACGGTATTGGAATTAATATTGAATATCTTTCATAACGACCAACTTGACTTGGTTTTAGGAAACATTATTGGAAAAGACTATGGTATACCTTATAATTTAAAAAGAAAATGGTGTAATTTCACATTTTTGAGTCATAACTAAAATAAATAAATAAAAAAAAAACTTAAAAAAAAAGTCATAAGCAAACACTACATAAGACATTACTAAATATATCAAAATAATGTCATAACTAAAGAAAAAAATAACATAACTAATGGTGCATCTAGTAAAGGGTGCGTACTGTAGATTTTTCAAAAATTATATTTAGTGCTCTTAGAGAAAATACATTTAGATAATATTTAGTTAATTGGAATTAAATTGAATGCAATGATTTATTCCATCAAAATATTCATTCTCATATTTAGTTGACTAAAAACATAATGACAAAATACATTACAGATGGAATGATCATTCATAATTTCAAAGGAATGATTATTCTATTCCATTCCAACTCATTGCATTAAACTCAATAGAACATTAGTGTTTCAATTTGATTTTATTAATTAAAATACTAAAGATTCATTACTTTCAAGTTAGTGATGATATGGAACGACTCATTCCTTCAACTACTAAAATTGATTTTTATTAGCAAAAATGCTAGAAATACTAAAAATTTCAGCAAAAGTTCTACTATATATCTCACATGGGTGTGAGACCTACACAGAACTCACAGTGTGTAGGTCCCATAGCTATGTGAGACATTTAATAGAAACTTTAGTAAAATTTTTAAAATCTCTAGTATTACACTTTTATTAGGCAAATTGACTTTTATGAACTAATGTGAAAGCCATTTCATTTTATTTCTTTCAACAAGCATATTAAATATTTTTTATTGCCCTCATTTAAAATCTAACAAACATTTTGGCTGGAAAAGTAAACAAGATTTGAGCAATATCAACAGGAGCTTAGGTTTACCTGGTAAACACATGAACATGCATCTATCTCACTTGATCATTAGTTAATTACTTATATTTACTGGAAAAACTAAAAATTCTTGAGATATTAGTTTGTGATTATTTTTTAATTAATAAATAACGATCTCACTCAAACAATCAAAGATAAAATGACATAATGATTTGATGTGAGAAAATTACAATTGGAGCGCCTCCAATTGTGATTAAAAAGAAAAAAAACTACGGGCCAAAACCACAAAACAATCCATTAAGAAAACAAAAATGAATTATAAAAGTGTACTCTCAATTACCTAGTGAATCCACGCCCGAATTGAACCACCCCCAATGTGCCTTTTCCACCATCATCTTCATCTCGGAATTGTCTTATCCAACATTAAATTCACAACACTAATGTCGAACCCACGTCGATGAACCACTCCAGAATTCACCAAAGCTTCAGGCTTAAATTCTTTAGAATTCACCAAAGAACAACTCTCTCTTTTTATGAATAAAAGAAAAAAACAAATCTCTTGATGATATTCATATAAAGTTCATGGATCCATTGATCATTCTTAAATCATCAAGGAAACACTCATAAAGCACCTTTCAATATAAAATACTTTGTTTTTTCTTCCGCCCTGAAAATCTAGACAACACAGACCCTAAAATGAGCAAAAAGCGTACATTATAGTAAACTGGATCACAAAAACCGCTAGAGTGCATATTTCACCGCTTGAGTGGTGTAATTAAAGGCAGTGCGAAACATATAAGCTGACTGCTCGAGTGCAACTTTCACCGCTCGAGCGGGAAAAAATTCTTTCCAGAAGTTCAAACGCTCTGCAACAATACTGGATGATCCTTTTTTTTTGCGCAAGTGCACAAATGACCGCTCGAGCAGTCAAACAATTTTGACCGTATTTTTTCATTTTTCTTTGGGGATACAGCCCCTAGACGCTACTTGTGTGCTGCACCGAACTCGTCATGGGGCACTGCTCCCTCGACCCCCATGAGGTAATTGGGCAGCTCGATCCTCTTACATAGTCAACGAAGTGGCACACATGAAAGGATTAAGATCACAAACTCCTCTACAAGGAACAATTCGGGTTGGATTTGTATTTAAAACATTTATAGCCTCACTAAAACAAAAGAGCGAATAAAATTATTACTGAAAGGAATTTTGTCAAATGTGATTGCCAATTATAAAAGCTTAACAATCTCCTCCTTTAGCAATTTTGTGACAAAACACACCTAACAAATAAAATCCTAATCACTCCAACCTATAACATCCAACAAAAACAAACTTTTTCTGAAGGTCATGATCTGCAAAACAACTATTAGTGCCACAAGAGTATAAGAAAAAGCAATAGACATATGACAATATTATCTTAAAGCAGGGGATGAAAATATGAATAGATGAAAATTGGAGATTTTAAGAACATGCAGTATGAATAGATGAAAATTAGAGATTTTAAAATATTTAGCATGAATAAATGAAAATTTTAAGAAACATGCGAAAACACTCAAAATTTCCTATCAAAATTCTCCATCTTTTTGTCATGAATTGTCAAAAGAAACTCAATCAAGTAAATTAAGAGCATAAACCACATAAGTAAGGACATGATGATGTAAAAATTAATAGCATATGAGATGTAAATAATAAATAAGCAATGTATAGAAACATGCAAACCAACTAATGCCAATCTCCCTTACAAAACTAATCAATGTAAGGTCATGCTAAAAAACCCTTGCAATGGTTAACCAAACTCCCCTTCACTAAAAGCAACCACAAACACCTAAAACAATGAACAAATTGAAAAAGACAAAAATATTATGGTAGAGCAAGTAAGGAATTTCATATTTGTACCTTAAAATACACAAGAATATCTAAGAAACATAATTACTTGAAAACGTAATGTGCACAACCTCTAAAAGATTCCCCATGAAAAAATATGATGTAACATGTGAAAAGCATAGATATCATGAAAAAGTATGTGT